TTTTTTTTTGTTGTATATTTTAGTATTACTAGTAATCCAAAAACAACAAATAAATCAGCAAATAACGGTATCTCACAGTTAAGTAGTCATTTTTCCAGCCGACAAAATCAACCAATTCAACAAACAGGAGCAATGCCTCATTACGGTGGTGGTGCAGAAAAATGTGCTCGATGTTCAAAAAATGTATATCTTGCAGAAAAGAAAGCTGGAGCTGGTCGTGTATGTATTCTAATCTATATAAATTTGAAATATATATATATAAAACAAATTCTCTTCTATTTCTTCTAGTCATATCATTCGAGTTGCTTTAGTTGTGAAACATGCAATCGAAAATTAGATGCAACAACATTATCAGAACATAAAGGTGAAATTTATTGTAAAACATGTTATACAAGACAATTTGGTGTACATGGTTTGGTTAGTGGTGTTACAATGTCAACTGAACATCCAGTACGTGAAAATCGTCATTCACGTCGTTCATCATATGGTAGTGATCTTGATGCACCAGTTATAACACATACACAAACTCGTCCACGTGCACATTCAAATGATAATATGCTTCGTGGTGAACATAGTGCTATACAAAGTGATGAATTACCAAAAATGTTTCCATGGCGTAATGATGTTATACCTGCACATGAACATCAAATACCACCAACAAAAACAAATAAAGTTAGTAATGGACTTGATGATTTTCTTAATAAAGATTATACAAGACCAGCAAGTCAGATTGGTTTCGAAAAAATAATTGAATCAGCTGTTGTTAATAATAATAATAACAATCGTGAATCAGCTTATATGGCTGAAGGTGATCGTCAAAAATATATGTATGAAGGTGAACAAATGTCTTATACTAATGGAACATCAGCTATTATTGATATGCCTATTATTTCACCTGTTAAACGATTTGATTCACACATTGAACGAACAGAAATGCCAACAGTACCAACAAAACATGATCAACGAAGCCGAAGTCCTTCACCAACATCAAATGATATTCATCGACGACAGGATAGTCGTGAACAACATCATACTGATATCTCAGGTATATAGAAGAAAAAAAAGCCCTCTTCTTTTCTATTCTTTTTATTATTTAATAGATAATTTCTCTCGTTTAACAATAAATGAAAATCATCATGATAATATAACTACAAATGCCATTGCTTCAGAAAATCCACTTTTCAAACCAACTTATAATCATTCACCATCACATGAAAATAAACAACGAACATCAAATACAGATCGTGAACAAAATCATTCCCGTGATTCATCACCATCAGCAACTGCTAATAGTAATCGATCACCATCACCAACAAGTGGTTACGGATCATCAAGTGTACATGGTGAAGGTTTATTACGTGATTCATCATCACCACCATCAGCTTTTGTACCACAACATGATTATCTTAATGTAAATTATTCTTATCTTTTTTATCTTATAAACAAAAATAATATTATCATCGTGTTATTTTATTTAGACTCGATCATCAAATACTAATGTTGTCGATCGACATTCACCAGCATCACCTGAACGAAATGAACGCACATCATCATCAGCTTTAAATGATTTTGTTACAAAAACAAATACTATTTCTTCACCAACTGTTGGTGGTAAATATTCAACACTTGCTGCTTTAATTAAACCTCATCGACCATTATCACAATTAAATAATCCAACTGATGATGATGATCAATTTGATAATTAATTAAACAAACTGAATTAATTTTAAAAAAAAACATTTTTTTTCTTTATTTTTTTTTTGTACCTTGTAGTTGCTCATTTCTGCCCTTTTCATTGATATTTTAACATTTGTCATTTTCTTTTAACATGAACAAAAACAAAATGCAAAAAAACAAATTTGTACACTTTTTTTAAAATTAAAGATGTTTATACGGATTTTTTCTTGTTTTGTTTCATTAGCATCAAAACAACATACATAAACACACATACAATGAAAAAAAGAGAAACGCAAGGAAAGAACATACTCATAGGGTAGTCTTTTTCTTTTTAAACAATCAAATAAACTATACAGCAAAACAAAAGAGAGAGAATTTATTACAATGTAGCTGTTGATGAAGTTTCGTTGGATGGTAAATGATGACCTTGTTTAACTAATAATGCACGAAGTATAGCAGTAAAATCAATAGGACTAGTTGATGTTGAAGAATCTGTTTGAGAATTTTTTGTTTTTTGTTGATGTTCAAATAGTAATTGATTAAGAACTTGAACAGAAGGTAAAGAAGATTTTTCTTGTAGTTGATGAGATTGACTATTATTTATTATAGGAATTGATGATTTACGTCGTTGTGCATTATCAATTGAAGAATTTGTTGATTCATGACGAATAAAATAAGAATGATCATGATAGACAATAGATGCAGGAGAATCTGGATCAACAGTTATATATACTGGCACAGAAGGAGTTGAATGGCGAGCCTAAAAATAAGAAAATAAAAATTAAATTATGTTTCTTATACTATATCTATATAAATTACTCGTTTCGAACTTGGCATTGGTGTATATTCAGGTTCATTATCATAATCGTCTTCATCAGTTAAACCAGCTAATTGTCGATAATTTTTTCTAGTTTTTGTATTATTATTTTTATCTCGTGTTATTATTGTTGATTTTTTAATTGGATTTACTCGATGATTTAAATCATCAATATCATCATCAAATTGAGGTGTTATTGGTTGACATTCAGACCAACATTCTTTGAAATAATGAAGAAGACGATTAGCTAATCTACCCAAAACTAAGAAAAAAAGACAATAAAGAACATGAAATGTTGATGAAATAATTAAATTACTGCTTCGTTTGCCATTGTATTTTTCACAATTGGCAACTATTAATTCAATATCGCGAATAAATTCTGATGAGTTATTAACATATGTTTTATTATTTATCTTTTGTTGTATAGTAGTAAAATCCATTGGATTCTAAAATCAGACAGTATCATTCCATGAACTCTTTTAAAAAATTCATTATATAATAACCTCTATGATTGCAAAATAATTAGGTGCTAATTCTTCTGTAACAGGTTCAAGGAATGGCCAACTGTTCTCATTGGTTCTCAACATAGTTAATACTAAATATAGAAAGAAAAATTATAAATCTATAAAAATATTAATTTATATACCTTTTTGATGTATATCACTGGTATCAATTGGATGACTATTTTCATCATTTAATATTGATGATGTATTGCTATTTTCATCAAATTCTGATCCATTATGACCTGTTAAAGATCCACCTGCTGTACGACGACGAATACGATCAGCACGTTCTTAAATCAATATAAATTAGCTGAATTATTTTCTTTCAAAATAAAACTTACCTTCTCTTCTTTTAACACGTTCACTACGTTCTAAACGTTCTTTTTCTTTGGCAATAGTTTCTTCTTGTCGTCGTCTATATTCAAGAAATTTATCATGTCGTGCTTTTTGTTCCTGTGTTATTTCTTCGAATTGAAGACGTTGTTGTCGTTTAGCTTCAAGACGTGTCGATGCACGCTTTGGTTCATATGATGTCCAACGACGAAGTCTATCACGATCTTTACGTGAGTATATATCTGGTAAATCCGTATTTAATGCTACTAAACGTTCGAGTAATTTACGATCTTTAAGATTCGAATTCTTTCTTGAACATGTTTTACGAAAATTTTCAATAAAAACATTCCATTCATCTAATGTACGACATATACATTCCCATGTTGATGTTCTACATATATATATGATATGAGATGGAATTGAAAATTTTTAGAAACTTACTCTGAGTTTTTATTTCGTGAATCACAATAAAGTCTAGTATCACCAAAATACCATAATTTATTTCCACGTGAATCTTCACCAAATGGTTCGAAACGAAGTGAATCAGCTGGCATATTCTAAAATAAGATATGTTTGTTGGATATATCTGATAGTATGCACAATGTATATATGTCATTTTACCTCAGTTACTTGATCCATATCAGCTTTATTTAATCGTGCATCACATAGAGCACGAAGTACAGTAACTTTTTCAAAAATAGACATTTCTTGCCAATCTGTTGTTGTTATTGAATCATCAGATATTGACATAGTCGTTGATGGAGTCGAAGAAATAATAGTCAGATCACATTTTTTAAGTACATTTGTTAACATACCAAACATATTCTCTGAACTATAAAAGCAAAATAAAGATAATGTTCTTGTTCGAAGAAAAAAAACAGAAGAATTTTACTTGACATGTAAACGTATCAATCCGGAGAGGAGAGATATGAGAAGTTCTTGAAGAAATGGATGTATTTCATTTGGATCATCTGATAGTAATGCATCTTCTAATTCTTCTTGATGAAAATCAAATAATTGAAAAGCATCACAAAAAATACGAGCAAATAATGATATGTAAGGAATTTGCCAACTATTTTGTAAAGCTACAAAAAAAAATATTTAAATAAATAAATAAATAAATAAATTTTATTTATATACTCTTTTGTATATTTGATATTTGTGCATCGGGCCATTCAGATGACATAACCCTAGTTGGTTGTTTATTTCTAAAAAGAAAAGAAAACAAACGTTGTATGAGTCATTATTACAATAGACCATTCATTATTTATATGATTTGAATGAGTCATTGTTTCTTTTTTTTTAAATTTTCTTATTTAGATTTAGTTTTATTTTCGTTTTTGACAATTATGATGAAATTATTTTATAGACGAAGAGTATATGTTTATTTGAATAGAAACTACATGTCTATGAAATTTATTTAAGTAGTTCAAAAATCTTATTGATTAAAAACTAGTATTTCTTTTGTATCTCGATTAGATTATTGAAAATTGAAATAATATGAATGAGAAAGAAGCGTTTTATTATACAATACAACAAGCAAAGACGTCATTTATTCTTTTCCGGTTTTGTTCCTTCTTCTCTTCCTCTCTTTTTTTTCTGTCTTTTATTATTTAACCAATTATAAGATCATTAAATGTATTATGAAAGATTTTTACAAAAGATTTTGTTGAATTTTTGAGAAAATCAATTCTATCATAAATCTAGAGAAAAATAGAATTTATTTTTTAATATGAGGGCGCCACAATCAAATATATTTTTTTTTCAAATTTATTTTTGTTAAAATTAATATGTCATCAAGCTTCATTCAACTTCTAAGTATTAGTAAATTTTTCACTGGCATGTACTATTCAATTAACTACTTCCTACTCGGTGTTTTTCTAAGATAAACAAAGTGTTCCATTACATCGCATTTTAAGAAACAACATGGAAAAGCACGTAAACTAGACCATAAATCTAAGTATTATGGTAGTTTGATTTTCCATTACTTCCATGAATAAATATATTTCAAAATTTATGATTGCTCTTAATTATTCAATTCTTAAAAGCTACATTATCGAGTAAAAATAAATTTATTTTCTCGTATTAAAAGATTGACGTGTATGTTTGTTATGGTTAAACTTTTTTTGGTTCGTATGAACATGCTTATTTTCTTTATAAAGAAATTTTTCGTTGTTACAATTTTAAAAAATAGAATTTCTTTATGATCAAACAAACATCTCAATATTCTTTTCGCTTCTTTCATTCTTTCATTTTTACCTTTTAACTCCAATAGCAACGTTTTTATTTTGTTTGCAAACATACATAAAGAATTGAAAAGAATGAAATCATTAAAGAGAATTATTAAAATAAGTTATGTATCAACCGTCAGTTTTTTGTCTTAAACTACAACTTCATTTTGGTGGTGATATTCATGAAATATCAGTACCAACTTATAATGGTGCTGAACCAACTGTAACAGATTTAATGAATGTCATTGAACGTGATTTTCGTGTACCACGAGCATTACAAAATCTTATCTTTCATGGTCAAGATTTACATCCATATACAAATGAACCATTAAGTCGTTTTGGAATCAAAAATGGAGTTCCTATTCGATTAGTAGGTCGAATGACTCCACCGGATATGATTCAACAAGTCAACAATCAATATAATGTTAATTCATATCAACAATCATGCTATGATCAACAATCTTGTTGTATTCATCAACCGAACGCAATTGCAACATTTCATACCTGTGAACAAAGTTTACCTTACTATCCTCAAGAATATCAACGTACACCAGATGTTTCTGTTGGTACTCAATATGATCCACCTTCATCGACAGTATCTCCCAATCAAAATCAACCACCTGCAACACCTAACCAAGGACATTAATAATTAGTTATACATCATTTATTCAATACAAAATGAACATAAACATTTTGTATAGTCTCTTTGAGTTCATTAGAATACATTAGATCATATTCTATGATTTATCTTTTTTCTTTTTAAAAAAAAATCATTATTCAAAAGAATAAATATATTCAACTATATATTTCAAATAATAATTCTATAGAATACATAAAAACGTTTTGTTAGTACTCATGTATATTACAAGTCATTGATCAAAAAACAAACAGCGATCTCATCCGAGTATGTATCATATGACGAAATATTCTTTTTGGTTTTCTTTATTGAATTTCTTTTTTAAATGGTTAATAACGAATACACAAATAAATAAAACAAACATAAAATTCAAGAATGATAACGAGAGAGAATGTTATTTTTAAAATATAAAAACATAGGCAATAAGAGATAATATAACAATACTTCCAACGGTTAAACCAATTTTCGTTAATGATGACATACGATTTAAATAATTTGCATCTTTACGATATTGTTGAGACATAGACGCTAGATGTGTTGCTTTTCTATCGAGATCTAAACATATATATATATATAATAAAATAAAATCTATATATAAATTTAAATTTACTTTGCAATGTTTCACCACGTGCCATTACATCTTGTATATTTGTAACCATTATACTTTGTACATCACGTAAATTATTTCTTAAATGACCCATTGTTTCACGTGAATTTCGACTATCAGAATATTGTTTTTTCATTTTTTGAATATAATTATCTATGAAATAACAAAAAATAATATATATATGTATATATAATAAATTTATAGAAACAAACCAAATTCAATAAATGAGTATGGTCGAGGAGCCACTTGTATTTTTTGTCCATATTGTGCAATAAATTCTTGTGCAAGATCTTCAAGATATGCATATGCATTTTTACGTGGAAAGTTTTTTTCGCATAGAGTGATATAACATACATCATGATCAATTAAACAACTACAATTAAAAAATAAATATAGAAAGAAGCTTTAATATAAAATGGTATTCATACTGAAATATATAAGGTTCACTTTCAATGCTTGCTTTTGATGGAGAATTGGGGCTTAGACGACGGAGAATATTTTTTGCTTGATTTTGATATTCAGTACTACTACGACCAGACTAAATATATGTATATGAACATAATGAAAAGTAATTAAACAGTAAATATTTTACGTCATCACGCATATCATTATGGACAGAAGCAGCAAGAGGTAGGCCATCGGCTACACGGCCGATCATTGTCATTAGAACCATTTTTAATAGAATAAATTATTGTATTTGACTTTTTTTCTTACTACGTGGTCTTATAACTATAACGTGTATTCAGTTTTTACGTGTATGTGTGACGTGAAATATATGCTGTTGGAATAAAAATAAGAACCAATGATAAACACTTTCGACAGATGCCATCAATGTATAAGTCATCAAAATAAAAGATGATGAAAAAATCTTTTTCTCTTATGAAATAACACGGTAGAAGAGATCAGTTTTGTGAATATAATATAAAATCTTGACTTCTATGGAGTTGTTTGAAATAATACAAACCGTTATTTTGAATATTCATTTGAATTACAATCTTTATCATAATTCTAATTTCCGATGCATTGCTCATACATAAATAGGAAGTGTTATAGAATAAATATTTTAAAAAATCTTTTAAATGATTTCGAAAAGATTCCATCGAAATAAAACTGAGACTATGTTTGTGACGAATTCTGATCCGTAGATCATTTATCTCTTCTCATACACTTTCCTCGCCTCTGTTGTTCATCTTGTTCCCTTTCTTTGAATATATGATAGAATAAAGGATAAACACTATTTATTACAACAAGATCATTCATGTCGTATTGAAATAGCTGTATTAGTATTCAAAGGAATGAACAGCAGATGATTTGATAAAGAAATCATTCCAAAAATTAGTCGCTTCAATGGCAAAACAAACTTTCACTGGAATAGTTTACAGAAAATGTTCACTCTTGTTCAAATAATATTCTTCGATACTCAATTTAATAGGCTTTCGGCCACTTCTCTCTTGTAAGCAAGCTTATTTTTCAACTGCTATCAACAATGCGATAAAACCGGTAATGCATGACAGTACGTTTTTAATTGATCATTTTTACCATTATGAGTGTATGATAACTTGTTTTCTGTACTAAACTAGTAATCCATGTTTGAATTATAAAACTTGAATTAGTAAATTCGATAGCTGAGATATAGGGTGTGGGTTTAGATATGTATCTTCATTTAGCCACATCCACACGCACCAACCTTCAAATTTTATTTGAAAGTTTGAAATATCCTCAATTCATTATAAAAAAACAGAATAAACTTATGTCAGACGTCGTTATTTTTCTATCACGATTAATATCATAATTGTAGACTGGTATATACCGTATAATGTTAAATAATCATATAAATCAAAAAGAAAATAAGCATAAGATCAGGTTTGTTTGTATTAATTGCTAAAGAAAGAAACAAAATAGATATAAAATATCAAATTATTATCTTTCATATATGTTTAGCTGGGATAGATTAAACATGCAGAATTATTATCATCATCAATGAATATAAAAGATTTATCGCACAAAGCAATGAAAGTTAATTTACAAATATTTATCATATTCAAATCGATATTTGGATTTATTTTGGACCAAAATGAAATTAGCAAATGTTTTTATGAGAATGAAAGAATTCTTTAAGAAAAGCATTTCAACTTAATAAAAATATGATTTCCTTTATTAATGATACAGGTATAATTACCTAATGAATCTGCATTGTCAGGAATCAATTGAATACTAGCATTGTATAATCCTGATGCTACTAATGTATAGGATCCGATCGTATGCGGATAACTTGTTGTGACAATTAATAGGTATTGTATATCAGCTTGAAGGTACATTTGTATTTTAAACTGTTTGTTTTCACCACTGTCATCATCGTATGCAATTACATGATAATATGTATCAGATGGATTAGTTTGAGAATAAAATTGACCATATGTGTCAATTGAACTGACACTCGCAAATACATAAGAATCAGTCACAGGAACAATTATCGAATATCTCTCACGATAATAATATGATCCTGACCTATTATATCGATCGAAAGTTGCGCTATCATTTGTCAACGAAGATGCGACTGTTATGTTTCGCACATATAAATTAACTATTTTGAAAAAAGAACAACTGAAGTATTTTATTCTGTTTTTCTAAATCGATCAAAAACACGGTATTTTTAAGCTACTGATTTTTATAATTCAATTTACAATGTGATATTTTACCTATTTATATAGTATGTATCTATAAAGCTTCAATTCCTATATGCATATACGTCAGATTTCATCTGAGCCATGATTGATTAACAATTTCGAATATTTTTTAATTTTCTATCGATTCAGAATTGACATATGATACTATCGGAAGACTTTCATACAGACTCTATTAATTGAGTCTTTAAAAAAAAGTTTCATTTAAGATCCTGAACTGGTGAGAATTTTTTTGAAATATGCTATAACTCAAGATAGGTTAAGAGTTTATATTTTCAGTGAACTATTTTTCAATAATAAACTTAATTCACGTTCTAGAAAATAAAAGATTAATTTATTTACTTGTTGTCGTTGTTGAAATCGGTGGTAGCGTAGTACCAATTGCAGAACAATTATAAAATAATCTCACCTCTTGTATATCAATCAAACTCATGTTATCACGTTGTCCAATTGAAACATTTGAAACAAGTGGCTCGATGGTCGGCAAACCATTTACTGAGAAAGTATTTTTCTCGTAATGCATAACAGATTTGTAATCATATGGAGTATTTTGTGTATCCACTGCTGTGTTGGTATATTTATCAAAGTTGTTTATCATACCTATGGGAACAGAATTAATGATTCTCATTTGTTATTGTGATAAGGAAGCTTTTTTTCCAAAAATATTCTCCTTACCGTATTGAATATTCGCATAATTAATTCTGACATAATCATCACGATCTGGTCTTGATTGTTCATGGTAAAAACCTGTATAAAAATTATATTTTCGCTATCAAATCAAAGCAAATATGTTCTCTATTTTGATTATGTGAAGAGGGATATTAGTCAACGCAACAATAATATACTCGTCTTTTGGTCACATTCACATTCTCTGTAATGATATAGATACTACGTGTTCACCAAAATAGATATGAAGAAAACGAAAGTCTTTTAACTTCGAACTTGGTTCTTCCTAGCTACTATTCTCATGATGAACTGGATTAGATACCATATTTTTATTCACTAGGTTATTGATTGAACTGGACTCTTATCTCTTTTTCAATTCTAACTGAACCGAGATAGTTTGGTCTGCTTTAATCTTCACTTATAATCTCTAACCAGAAAAAAACTGCTTCAAAATTGATTCGATATTAAGCTTTTATGGATTTACTATTAGAGATAATAAAGTTCTCAAACAGAACGCATAGAAAACTTGAATCTCAAAGCTTATAATTAATTTAGTTATTATTACATTGGCTCAAGCTGTTTGAACTTTATATGACTAGATAGATCTTAAACGAAATAGAAACTTTCATCAATGTACCTAATGCATGCAGTAATTCATGCATGATATGTGCTTCACCTATGCAACCAGGATGTTGCAATGTTACTGTTCGTGCCATAGTAACACCTGTGTTTTGTCCGACCTAAAAGACAAATTTCAGTAAAATGAAATTTCAAATACTATTTTTACATAAGATGCACAGCCTTGGCCATTGACAATTGTTATATAATAGATATCCGAGGCTATTCTTGGCCGAAACTGAATACATTTATAATTGTTAACTGCTATTAAGCGTTCCATTTTTTGCATTGTAGCGATAATAAACGCCTGTTGTGTAGAAGCTATAAAGAAATTGAAAGTGTAAGAGTTTGTAATTACATTACTATGTGTACAGATGAAGGTATTGATGTATTCTTTGTGATCATCTCTCTCGTTCAATGACACTCAATTTAATCGAATGAAATTCTTTTATAACGCCAAGAAAATCTCTACAGAAACTCGATAAATTTTAGTGTACTGAATGATGATTGAATTTGTAAAATTTATTTCGCAATGTTAAACATGAATTTGGAGGATCACTATAGAAGTTGAATAGAACAGATCTAACATGCGAATGTTAAACTTAGTATTTTCTGGTGTTTTTTTAATTTGCTACTAAATGTCTATTTAATCAACGAAATTCTTCCTTCAGAATATTTACCATATCCAGGTAAGATTTCATATGGTACAATGCCTTTTGTCCAAGGTACCGAAGAACCACGGGCTGCAACTCCACGCTAGGTTTTTATAAACAAAGATCAATATATTTCAGTAAATTAATGAAACTTACAATACTATTTGCAAACTCAGCAGGAAACAGCATATCACCTTCGACCAGATCCGCTAAAAAAACAAAAACAAATCATTCCATAGAAATCTGATGAAATTTTCTTATAAAATTTCAAAAAAAATTCGTTACTCGACATCATCGCACTAAAGACTACCTTTAAATTTTAGGATCATAATGAGATGAATGTGAGTGTTGAAATGATTATACACTGTCATCGTCCCGCACATCCACTATTGCGTTTCGATGAAAAGAGGAAAGATTTTTATAAAACGTTCTGTACTCATCTTTTCTTAGATTTTATGACAACTTACGATTTTCATATAGGTTATTTCTCGTCGATAACATTTCCTTAAAAAAAGTTTTCTTGTTATTATCAGTAAATAAATGCAGTTGATGATAAGATGTACCTCTGATAAAGGATTTCCATTGATGCCAAGCTGAATGATGTAGAGCATTAACATATACAATAGTACACTCATTGTTTCGCTTTTTTTGAAATCCCTAAAAACTATATTAAACATGAAAGTATGCTTGTATACAAAACTTTTATCATTTTGCTTGGTAAATAAAGGATTGATCATCTTAGAATGTAAATAATGTTATGAATGGTAATAGTGAGGGTGTGGGTGTGCGTGTAGTAATAAATAAAAAATAGATACAGCTCCCCGACAAAGTCACACCCACATCTTTTTTGAGGTGGGACTACTTTGAATGTGTTAGAATTTAACTAATAATAGTCTATTAGTCTTAATTCTTAATAATTATATTGAATATAAATATAATCCGTGTTTAACCATTTTGTTCATATTATTTTAAAGACAATTCATACTTACTAAGTGAAATTCAAGTCTTAGTTCCGATTATTACTTCTTGTCGTAGCTGTTATCGTTACGAAAGTGTCTACGAAATATAATATTCTTCAAATGGAATGAGAAATGTATTTACGTATGTACGACTGTTAGTGGAGGATAAATCGTTTTATTATATGAAGGAGTAATATTCAATATTGATTGTTGTCGGAATGAAACAAGAGCAGGCTTAAAAGAAACAGTTTTTATTATCCACAAAAGTAAAGCTAAAAATATTTACTTAGATTTATTATATTTTTCTCGTTTGTGTGAAAAAAAATATAATGCAGAACTGTAATTTAAGACTCTGTCAAGATTTGTTCAGTTCTCAACAGTATGAGAGTGGATGTGGGTGTTTCATATTCAATTGCCATTCCTACTCACATCTACATCCACACCCTGAAGATGATATGAATAATCTGCCCTAATATGACGTGTTCGATTACAAAATTTTTTTTATGCATATATGTAAGAAGATATGTTTGTTCTAGATTTCGTTGTTTTTCATTTCAAAGATAACGTATTTGCAGACGTTCATGACCAGATTGCATGCTATTCCATGTAAGTATCAAACGCAGGTTGTATATCTTCATGCCGTATACAGAGCAATGCGATTGTCTGCAGAGAAATGAACGCCCGTTTGCTGACTCTATATATGAACTCCAGATTCCTCGTTTTAGACTAAACGCATCTACGCTAGTGTCGAATCTGACTGTGTTTGACGTTGAAGAGCGTTTGCATGCGTTTAAATACAAAAAAAACTGAAATACGTTACGTTCCTTCCACGTTGGCTTCCTTGGTAAACGTAGCCCTTTATGTTCAACCTATAAGTAATTATCCTCTTCATTATTAAAGCTCGCGTAATTGAATCTATTCTACAACGTTTAAAATCATTTTAATACACCTGATTGATATTTTTGAGCGTAGATATACGTGTGATAATAAATAAAGAATACATACAGCTCCTCGACAAAGTCACACCTACATGTATCTTCGTGAATAAGTGACATGACTGCTTATTTTTAAATCTTGAATTTATATTATTATATTCACACCCATACCCTCATGGATTATTTAAGTTGACAGTAATTGTCCGACTAGTTATTGACGCGTCATATAACTCAGCACTATTTAGAATATAAACATTAATTCCACCAGTAACTAACACTTTTCCATTGGTTAATACGGATGCTGTATGAAGTAATCGTGCAGTATTTAAGTTGCCAGTGATGGTCCACCTATCTGTAGACGGATCATATAACTCAGCACTATTTGAAGCATAATCTGTCCCTCCTCCAGTAACTAACACTTTTCCATCAGTTAATACGGATGCTGTATGAAATATTCGTGGATTATTTAAGTTGCTAGTAGTGGTCCAAGTACTCGTTGATGAATTATATAACTCAGCACTATTGGTTCCACCAGTTAACACGGATGTTGTGTGCATCATTCGTACATTATTTAAGAGATCAGCAGTGATCCTACTACCCATTGATGGATTATATAAGTGAGCACTATGTTTAACAATACTGGCTCCACCAGTAACTAGCACATTTCCATCAGGTAACACGGATGCTGTATGGAACATTCGTGGATTATTCAAGTTGCCAGTAGTGGTCCAAGTACCCGTTGATGGATTATATAACTCAGCACTATTTTCAGCACTATTGGTTCCACCAGTAACTAACACCTTTCCATCGGGTAATACGGATGCTGCATGCATCATTCGTGCATTATTTAAGTTACCAGTAGTTGTCCAGTTGCCTGTTGACGGATCATATAACTCAGTAGTGTTTAAATATTGAGCCCCAAACTTCTCTCCACCAGTAATTAACACTTTTCCATTGGTTAATACAGATGCTGTGTGCATCATTCGTGCATTATTTAAGTGACCAGTAGTGGTCCAATTACCTGTTAATGGATCATATATCTCAGCACTATTTAGAGTAACAGTACTATTGTTTCCACCAGCAATTAAAACTTTTCCATCGGTTAATATAGATGCTGTGTGATAACGTCGTGCATTACTCATGTTACCCGTAGTTGTCCAATTACCTCTTGATGGATCATATAACTCAGCACTATTTAGCATACCATTATTGCTCTGTCCACCTGTAACTAACACTTTTCCATTTGTTAACAAAGATGCTGTATGTCCCTCTCGTTCATTTGTCATATTGACAGTATTAATCCATTCTACAGAAAGCATTTAAATATATTCAGATTAAAAACGACTATGTTATCGCCCACTAAAGATTATCTGTTCATATACCGAGTGTTCTCTATGACAAGGTTTTAATTTTATCGTACGGAACTCTAGCTGATGTCGTAGAAATCGAACAAATTTTTTATTGGTATTACTAGATCTGTTTTGGTAGAAAACAAATAAAGAAAGTTTATATTTTGAGTCTGTGGTTGTATTAATTATATGGGATAGAATATTTTTCGATTTTTTTTCTACAAAATCTATTAGCTATAATCAAGGATCGTCCAATGGTTGACAAACAGAAATATCTTCTTAACTCTCTTACAACTTTGTTCTTTATTAAATCAAAATAACTTTTGAGTGTTGCTATTAATATTTTTTTTCTTACAATCCGCTGTCATAGAGAGCAAATGCTCGAATGGTCAAGTTAACGTAGAGTAAGATTTTTTCATACATTAAACTAGTAGTAGATGCTGATTCGACAACTAGCTCTGCGATGACATGAATCAATCAGAATAATATATCGGAATCACTACTACTTACTGTCCATTGATGTCTGCAGAACATTGCATAATGCTTGTTCAATGACAATACAGATAGTAATAACACGGATAGTAATTTGCATATTCAGGTTTTTCTTTGTGTCGTTTAATAATCGTTGACTCGAACACGCATTCTATTGAGGATAATTACTTTTATGGATCCGTATGCTAGCTTTGTATAAAGCCGATCGTCACCAGTGATAGTTCTCATGACCTTCATTATAGTGAGCAAATAAATTTCCATCAAACTATGAGTATATCATGCAGGTACGTGTGGTGACGAAGCTTATCAATAATTCATTTATTGCCGCAGATGCCACAGTTCCCATAATATATATCACACTTGTCTAATTTTTTGCAAAGAAAAAGATGAAATATGAAGTTTGATAAATATGGTTAAAGCTACAGGCCAAGAGAAATATGCTCAAAAAGTTAGTCTTAGCGCTACAGTAAAAAGTTTTTAACTGCTCATTAAGACTAACCATCTTGAGAGTGGATGTGGGTAGTGGGTGTGGGTGTGACTACTCTGCTCATTCGACACCTTCATCCACACTCACACTCACAGACTGTAGAAAATTTTCTTAGTTTAGGAAAGGAAATTGACATTAAAATTAAACAGAGATTTTTCATATCATTAATATAAAAGATACAAATAATAGAATATTTGTTGGATATTGAAAAAAAAAATTAAATATTTTTCTTTGCTTGATTTGATTAATTATCAAAGTTTTGAATTAATAGCAAAAATATTTTTTCATTTACCTAGAATAGATCACAGAACGCTATTAATAATTGTATTTTCTCTTATTAATCTGTAAATAATTTAAGGGAAAATTGAAACAATATAATATTCGATTCATATAATAAAGTAGAGATTCAAAAATGCCAGACAACTCATTTTTCTTTCTATTTACAAAATTACCTTTTTTTCCAAGATATTACTCATAATAATAAAAGGTAAAAAAGGAAGAAACGTCACTTTGATACTGTAGAACGATGCTTTTTCTCCTTGATTTGTATTTTTTTTCGCTATAAACAAATGAATCATGTTCGTGCATGCATATGTTCTTTAGTTACTTAATCGAAGTAATGTTATTGTTTTTCACATCGTTATACTCGATAATAATATTTGCCTTAAACAATGTGCGTAATATCTAAGTAAAATCCAAGGTTTGCCTGCTAAATCATTCCTTCGTAAATCAGTGAAAAAAAATCTTCAGGTGATATAAACTAAATATTTAAGTATTAATAGTTGGATTTATTAAGAATAAATAAATTTTTTATATATTATATATCATCCAAAATGAGAAAAAAAACTTAGAAACTATACTAATATACAAATGATTATGTTTAAGAAAGACTCTCTCGTCTTATTCTATCTTTCATACGTATGATATATATTCAAAACAATTTTTAGATAACGTTGTTAACTTGTCAGCCACTAAAAATATATACTCAAACAAAAAAGTGAACAATAATCTCTACTGGAAGAACTAAAAAAGTTGAAATAATTTGAAAGAAATATCCATCATTGGTAGAAACATTTAACAACTATTGAATAGTCATTGCAGTTGGAAAAGTAATGTTGCCGATGAACTACCCATCATTATCGTTCGATGCCTATATCTAACAGTTCTTGTTGTTGTTAAGCTTGAATTTATAATTTTCTTCAGTTTCTAGTTTTCGTTATAATCTGTTATATTTGTTTTTTTTAGAAAAAAATGGTAGCAGAGAATTAAATTCTTATAGATATTTTTTTATTTATAAAATGACATTTATGTGTTTTGCAATTACCTTGGTTTGACTTGTTTTTTTGTGTATTTGTATCTCATTACATATATGATAGATTGAAAAAAACCATACTTAAGGCTAAACAAGGAAAAATCAAATTCGTATCATTAGAATGTATGTATTTTTTTATTTCCAAATAATTAGTCTTGTCGTTTTATTCTTTGTCGATATTATAAATGTTATTCATAAGATTTATATCATTATAATATTGTTTTGACGTAATTTATTTCGTCGGTAAAATCCAATTTATTTCCTTGGTAAAATATTTCGTATAAATATTTTAGTAATACAATGCCTCAACATGTATAAAAAAGACTACATTACGTACTATTTTATTCTTTATCATCATGGCTGTTGTTGATATGGGAAGAGTGACTGACAATTATAGTGGAGAGGAGTTGATGGATTTCTTATCAGAATTGCTGCAAACTACAAAGGATATTAAGATGGAAATTAAATGGCCTACATATATGACGGATCCAATAATATTAGAAAACTTAGATTCTAACGATTGTACATGTGAGAAATATGATAAAGCAGATAAGTTTAAAATTATTTATATATGTACGTCAGGTGTGAACTTCTATATGAATTTTCATCGTAACTTCTTTGATACCGATAAAATGTACGGTGCTGGAGTTGTTTCACAAAGACGTGTGTGGGAATATCTGCGGTCCGTAATGGCTCCTTACAAGTTATCTGCGAAGATCAAGAATTTGTCTGAATCTTACACTAGAGCTACTTATTGTCCTCCACCCGCAACTATTGGACACACTCCTGGTTGCTCTGAAGTTACAATACGCGGATGTCAAATAACATTTAGGGCTAATGAACAATTGCAAGAATAACTCACAAGCGCGTCACAAAAAACAAAAGACAACATTTATATTTTTCTTTTTAATTGCCTGTAATTTTTTATTATATTATTCTCGAAATATATTGCATTTTCAACTTTCTTTTATGTCACATGCAGGGGTGTCTAAAGGTTCAAACTATTGGAGAGGGGAGGCACCAATTCTCTCGAAAACTAATGAGCAAAAAAAACAAAGTTTTCGATGATTAGTCGGTCGTCACGGCCTCATCAAAAGTACAATTAGATCATTTTTCAGACCTCCAACAACTTTCGACATGTTGATATTTCGATCACTACTTTTTTAGTAGTTAAACACAGTACTTATGCAAAAGATAGTACACAATGGAATGAATCTTTTATACCTTTTTACGATAATCTACCTAACGTTAGATTTACAATTTTCATAAATGATAAGCGTAGAGCAATTAAATTTTTTTGAATTTGGATAGAATTTCATCGGATTCAAGTTTATTTACAGATAATCGACTTGACATTAAACGTTTTTTTATTCTATATGAGTATGATTTACAAATTCGTTCTTTTTCGTTTGATGAAGAGTCATTCCTTTACTTCATATAACATATTCTTTTTTATATATTTTTCTTTGATGTACGGTATCTCGTGAGTACGAAACAGTGCTAGATAATCTACTCTTTTTTGAATTACTTTTCGAAATATTTTCGAGTTTTTTCATATATAAATTGCTATGCTTATTTTTATCGTTACGACTTTCAATAATATGTAATTTTATAGTATTAAAACTATTTTTCACATATTTAACGAAATAATAAATGAATGAAAAAAAAACAAATCAAAATTTTATGTTAATTTATTTGATGACTATACTTCAGTAAAAAGTCAGAAGTTAATTTTAACAATCAAAACAAATATTTTTTTATATATATTTATATCATTGTATTCTCATGAAATTGTATAAGAGAAAAAAAAAGAATCTGATGAATAAGATCGTTTGTACAATAAATTAAAATATACAACCACGTTTTCGAATTGCTAAATGTCCATCATGTAAAAGTGAAAGACTAACACGATGTTTTATATTTGTACCTGAACGACGTACAAGTAAATCATTACGTCCGACTGTTAAAACAAGTGCAGGAACTATTTCGAGATCATCAAAAACTAAAAGTATTGGTGAATTACGTGAAAACCATGCTCGTTGATACCATAAACGACCTTCTTCAATACGAACATCAATAAGAGATTTTGTTGATGAATCATCATGTTGATTTTCAGAAGATTTCTTTTCATCAATTGATTCAATATGTTTTAAACTATGACAAATATCTTTTATATCTTGTTCAATATCTGTATTTGATAAACAACGTTGTAATTCAATACCACCAAATGGTGGTAATAAAGAACTTGTTCCACTAAATATTGATAAATCTTTCAATGATGTTACTGTTGATGATGTAGAATTTTCTGTAAGAATATCATTAGCAGCTGCTCGTCTTAGATTATATGCTGGTCGTTGTTGCAATTGTTGTTGAGTAGATTCATTCGATTGATGATTATGTCCATCATATACATTAGTATCATTAATATGATTATGAATTCCATTGAGTAAAAATTGTTCATTATCTGAATTATGACGATGACGAATATTTACATTTTGATGTTCATATTCCAAATGACGACGTTTATCATTAAATGTTGATAATAATTTTGATTTAAAATCAATTTTTTTCATTTGAAACGTTTCATCAGATTGTCGTAATTCATGTGTATACATTTTTTCGATGGTATTACATCGTTCATAATGCCAAAGATTCAGATTATTAATCTATTCAATGAAGAAGAAAAATAAACAAAAAAAATTGATATATTGTCTTATATTAGGCAAATTATTTATTTTACCACGTATTAATTCACTTCCACACCCACACCCTCAAAAATTCAGTAGAATAATCCTAACAGGTACCTTTTTAGCTTTCTTGATTATCTATCATTTTAGTAATTCAAAAACAAATAATTCCTTACTTGTTTATCATATAATCTTAATAATTGATCTAAACGTTTTTTATATTGTGCATGATGATCATCATTCTGTTCAATTTGTTGTTCACTATTTATTATTTCTTTTGTTGTTAAAACACGTAATTCTTCTTTTAAATGATGTAAACGTTTTTCAATCATTTTCAATGGTATTGTTCGATTTGATAATTTGTTCTTTGTTGAATGTGACGAATGTCGTATTGATTCAATTGAACACATGATAAGAATAATTTGTTTCTGTTTTTTTGTTGTTAAAATATAATAAACTATTAAAAAATTATCATCTAGAACAATATGAAAACATATCTATCAGACCTTTAGTTATTTTATAAAAAAAATAAAAATAACTATTTTCGAATATTAGAAATTTTTTTCAAATCATCTTCACATTCTTCATCTTTAATAGTCCATTTAGGTAATTGAAAAATACTAAATGCACCAACAAGACGTTTACGTGCTGTTGGTGGTTGCTGTGGTATTGGTGATAGAATTCCTCCAGTTGTAGAAAGAAATTCTTCTTCATACATATTTGATGTTTGTTGTCCTATATCAGGTCGTTGTCGGAAATTATATGCTTTAGATTGAAGTGAATTGGAAGCTTGCATTGTAATAAATAATGGATCCATATCAAATGAACGTGAATTTATATCAATTATTGAATGCATTTCATCAACAACTAATTTACGTTTTCGTCGTAAACGATCAAGTAAATGACCTTTTAATTCAGTTTTTTTAGCAGCAAATTGTGCTCGTGTAGTACGTGTTTCTAAATCAAAACGACGATCAATACGTTCTTCTTCGATTTTATAACGTGCTTTTAATTGTAAACAATTATAATGATAAAAATCTGATAAAGATTTTAAACGATTGGAATCAGCTGTTGAAATATTATGATTTTGTTGATCGAATGTAGATAATTGTGAATATAAATTTATTAAATGAGAATCAATTATTGATTGATCGGATGAATTTTGCATTCTATTACTGTCTTATAATGGAATTAATATAGATGTATTCATTTTATGATCTAAGATGATCTCGAATAGATAGACAAAAAATATTATATTTATTTCAATGGATCATAAATATAATCCAATCGAAGATAATAAAATTGACATGCGACATCTATAAGTTATGAGTTCTTCTTATATTATGGTATAGTTTTATCAAGTCTTGCCTAGTGAAAACGAATCCACTTATAGTGAGATAATACATTTATGAATTCTTTGAAATCTGAAGAACTATCTATAGTTCCAAATGATCGTTATTGTATGAAAATATATATTTATCAGTACTTTTTTGAAAATTAATACGTATATAGATTAACATCAGTCCTAAACTATCGGTACTTTGACTTATGACTAATTTCATCAAGGTGTAATCATAGTTAAAATAGATAAGCTATTTTTCACTTATAAGTGGTTTGACTAATATTTTTATCGTAGATACTTTTACTCATAATGCTATTTTAGTCATGAAATAATCTTCTATTTATTATCTTTTGTGGCTCTATAAATATTCGGACAATGTTGTCATCTTTTCATTTCAAACAAAAATGAAATATCTTATAATACAACTCTTATTCGTCATTATCAATGCTTATCATCCGATAGCTATTCTATATAGAGGTACAGTGTGTGGTTGGGCTGAAACTACGACAGATCAACCGATTCTATGCAATGGATTAGATCCTCGACATTCTTGTCCAATAAACTATACTCAACAATCATTTCAAGAAGGTGTAGCATACTGTTACAAGACTAATTCAACTAGTGAACCTCAAAATGGTTTAATAGGCACAATTTGTGGTGGTCTAGCACGTAATCCATGTGGTGGAATAAGTCCAGCTGTAGCATGTCCACCTGGATACATACAAGATTTTCGTCATGTATGCTATAAAAATAGTTCAAAAATCGAAGATCTCTCTGGAACATTTTGTGGAATAGTTAATGATGGTACTGGAGTGACATGTGATGGAGTGCAACTTGGAAAATGTCCAAAAGGATATGTTGCAATTAATTATGATGAACAAAAATGGCATGCATGTACTAAAGAGTAGAAATTAATCTTTCATTGTAATCATTTTTCAACGATATATCAAAAATAAATTTTATCATAAAAATATCTATTTTCTGTATTGTCTACAAGATGAACATGATTTATATTATTTAATTATTTGCAATAATATCAATAATGATAAGACTATTCTGTTAGAATCGACTGTTATAATGTCGAGACTTTCTGTTACTTTATTTATTTTAACTGAGAAAGAGCGTTATTAATCCAATGACATGCATTTTCTATAATCTGCTTTTGACCAATTAAATAGATTAATGAATATCGTTCATCATCATCTAATTGACTCGATTGAAATCGGTTGAGACTTTCTTCTAATGTTGTTGTAAATTGCACTTCTTTAATATCATTGAGAATTTCAAGCAGTTTATTTAATGCTCGTTGTTCATTATCTGTATTTACTATTGATGAAAGTAATTCATCTAAATTTGATAGATTATATTGTTCTAATTCTTCATTTGTCATAACAATTAAACGAAGTGTAGCCAATAAATTCTCACTTATGATTGGTTCATTTTCACTTATTTTAAGTTCATGATCCAAAAATAAATCTTCACCTTTAATAAACAATAAATATATATATTGTATTGAATTTATTCAACATACTTAAATTTAGTAAAAGCATTTTTTTCATTTCCATTTCATAAGTATCATTTGGATCCATTTTTATTTCTAATAAAATCGAATCAAATGGATTATTTTCAATTGCAAAACCATAATAAAGTAATAATTGCCAATTAGCTAATTCATTATTATATTTTAAACATAATTCATCTCCAGCTTGAATTTTCTTATCAGTTGTTTTCAAAATAAATCTATTTGTTTGTTTATCAACGCCCTTTGAACATAGACTTGCTTCTTGTGCAAATGATACATGATTAGCAAAATCAGCTAATGGAATAAGTGTTGTACCAAAGTCAGTTAATTTAAAACCACGACTATCAATAATTGTATATGCCCAAAGAAAATCTTCTAATGTAAATGTTTTAGGATTAATAAGATCACATACTTCACTCATTGATTGACGCATTGTCTCTGTTAAATAATATACTGATGTACTTTCAACATAATTTTCTTTATGAAATAATGGAGTTGAAAATGTCGTAGGTAATACTTGAATATGAGGATACCAAAAAGATTTAGTACCCTCTGAACGTTCATGTAAAAGAAATAATGTTAAAATTAATGTTTCTTGATCAATATGTTGTTCAGCTTGATTGAATACATCAGATGTTGGTGGAATAAATGTTGAACTATTCTTAGCTAATTCACTTGACATGAGTAATGATGTAGGAATCTCAATAATAGGTAATTCTTCTGATGATGTGCTATATAAAGCGGAACCTCCATAAAGTATAGATGAACGAATATCAACATTTTTCCATATGACATTGTGTTCATTAAGCCAATTTTTGAATGAAATTAAACGTTCTTCATTCTAAATTAAAATTATTGAAATAACAACAATAATTAATCCGCGGTTTTTAGCACTGAATTATACATATTGAATCCAGTCATGAACTATTTCAGTCGAGAATTGTGTAAAGTTAGCTTTCGATGTGGGTTAGATATTATTTCAATTCATTAACTCTAAAAGTTGTAACTCAGTATTATTGTCAGGTAGATTTCTTCTGAATTTTTTTAACTATATTAAAGAAAACTTCATACAGTAGTTGGTTTCGAACGTTGTTGTTCCATTTGAATTTCATCGTCAACCATGGAGTCTAAATGACGTTTCATGCTAAAGATAAAAGAGTTATTTTAATAGTATTCCAAATCCGAAAGAATAACAATATACATTTTCTATGATCTTAGTAAATCCATATAATTTATTTATATTCTTGATTCTAATTTTCTGTCAATATTATTTCTGTTACACTTTTTGTAAAGATAATATGTAAATTAAATATAGGAGAAGAAAAACTATCTCTTATCATTTTTTATTATCAAAAAGAAAGTTTATATTAACTGTTGTTTGTCTATTTCTTTCATTCCATATTGAATAAAAGTAACAAGTCGGTTTATTACAGATACTAAGCAAATTAAAACGATGGCTCCATATGATGCAGGCACGGATATGGTTCGAGCAATGTGTGCAGCTGCTTGGATTATGTTCTTTTTAATTTTTAAGAACATTGTATTACTCAGTATATTAGCTTTCCAACGAAGAAAAAATGCTATTTATAAAATACCTGAAGATGTAAACACATTTGGTGCTGGACAACAACAACAACAAGTAATTGATGACTGGAGTTTAGCTGGACGTATTCAACGTGTACTAGCTAATGATGCAGAATATATGCCGTATTTTTTAGCATTGCTGGTCTTTACATTTTGTGCAATGGAATTCACTAGTCAATATAGTCAACATTTTCTAGCACGAGTTCTAGTCTATGGTATTTCATTTACTGTAGGTCGTTATATTCATACAATAGGCTATTTAATTGGAAATACATATGGACGTATACTTGGCTTTTTGATTACCGTTATTGTTCTTTTTGTAACATCTCTTGATCATGTCTACTATATAACTAAAGGACTACATAATCTTAAACCTAATCCTTAAATATTTTAATAAATATACTTGTTGAACTAACAAAATAAAACATTATCTCTAGTTTTGTAAAAAGAGTTATCGAGAGACGCACTTGTTACTATTTATATTCTATTAGATATAGAAAAAAAGTATGCTTCACCATTTCATAAGATAATTTACACGTACTTCGTACCAGAAGATGAAGTATTCAAAAAAAGTAACCATTATATATCTTTTTAATCAATGCGGATTCTTTAACAAGTTTAAGCCACTGAAATTGATTGATACAATTTACATCATTAGTAAATGTTCGCCGGATAGATAAATTTTTTAATTATGTGATATAAATGTTGTCAATCTCAAGTCGGTTTATTTTAAAATATTACATTTCTAAACTGCATATATATTTCTATTTCGAAGAAAAGATTTTCTAATTCATTAAAACAAATAATCATTTGCACAATTTATTTTTTTATTCTTTTATAATTAAATAGTCAAGAATAGAAATATATCACCTAACCATATTGAACAATTTCATGAGAATAGATAAAATACGATTACGATAGAGAAAATTACTAATAATGAATATACAGAAAAGAAAAAAAACAAAGTAATCAATAAAAGAGTAGATATATTCACTAATAAAAAGCATTTTCATGTAAGGAATCACAGATTTTGAAACACTAATTTAGAATTATGAAAGTGTTTCAGATTGTTGTAAAACGCCTTTGATCATTTGAATTTGAGCCTAAGTAATTTAAATAGAAAAATATATTTATTGATTCAATTGAAAATTTTACTTTAGAATGTTTAATTTGAAGTTCAGTTAATTCAATTAAATTTTTTCGAAACATTTGTACTCGTCGAGTTTTAAAATCATTCAATTCTATGAATAAATAAATATATTTTATTCTAAAAACAAAATTTTTTTCATACCATCTTTAGCCTTTTCTGAAATAGTTTCAAATTTTTTCTTTATATTTTGTTGTGCTGTTTCAGCTGCTTGAACTTCTTTATTTTTCAATCTTGCTTTATCTAAATTTTTATTAGCTGTATCAAAATCAGCTAAACAACGTGAACGACGATACATTAAATCAAGTGCTGCTTTAGAATCTCGCATATAATATCTTAACGTATCGGATAATTTAAGATCCATATCCGATTGAACACGTGATTCTAATTTCTATTAAAATCAAAACAATAAATATTAATCTTATCAACCATAAAAAATATCTTACACGAGCTTTTTCAAAGAAATCACCTAATAATAGAAGATATCTAGAAAGAAAGAAATAGAAATACTCTTTTTTTACAAGTAATCATATTGGATTTACTGTGCTAAATCAGTTTTATCCGTTGTTGATAAAGCATTGAAGCCACTTGATATTTTAATATATGTATCAGCAACAGCTAAATAAAATTATGAATTTTATATCTGAATTAAATGGTTGTGATCAGTAGTTTACTACTGATAAGAGGCCATTTTTATGCATCTTTCGGTGCGATATCAGTTAAAGTGAAAAACATTTTTTTGGATTGATTTTACTTCAAACAGACTGACTCTATCGAAAAAAGAAGCCCAGAAAATGATATGAAAGTGCCAATGTTTTATTATATCTACAACAATTCTTAGACTCATTAGTTCTTATGATTCGAAATATCGTACAACTTCTATAATTTTAGGCATACTTTTATGTGCTCGTGTTGATTTATCGGCAGCATTTGTAGCATCTTTTATTTTTGCGTTATAAGTTAAAAGGAATTGTTTTTGTCGTTCAAAATATTCATCACTTTCCTAATAATAATAATAATAAATGAAAAGAATTATTTATTACAAAGAAAAAGAAATTCATCGAAAATTTACCTTTTGATTAGCCAATAGAACTTCATCGGCTGTTTTTGTTAATGTTTTAAAAAAGCCCGAAATTTTTTCGCTGGCATTTTTACCACGAACACTTAACTAATAAAACAAAGAAAATTATAATTTACAAAAAACGTATTCATGTTTCTTTTTTTACTTCTTCTTTATATTCAAGAAATACACGGAAATTATTATCATTTCGTAAAACTGGATGTGCAGCCAAACGTTGAAGAAAAACTTCATGCATTGATACAGTCTTTTTGAACATAGCTAAATATTCACTAAATTAAAATATAGGCACAACATAATATAAGAAGAATTTTTTTGTATTTTTATCTAAACATACGCTTCCAATTCTTGTTTCGTTTTGTCATATTCCTCTTTTGTAAGTGTACTTTCACTATCGCTCAATCTTTGTAATTTAGCACGAGATGAATCAAAATCAGGTCGTGGAGGAGCTGGTGGAATCTAATTTAGAAATGTAGTTAAGAAAAAAATTGCAAATTATATTCTTGTTATACATACAATTAAACCTGCATATTCTTCATTTTCATTGTAACGATCATGTAACCAAATAAATTCTTCGTGTTGACGTGATACATTAAATTCCGATTCTTGGAATGTTGTTAATTTAGTCTATTGATAAACAATTGTAAATTATAATCAAATAAATATAAAATTCTTACCTTGGTATGAACAGTAAATTTAACTTTGTCCTTTTCACTTAATGCATCGGATATATCGATTTGTAAATCATTGTCATTAAGATCAACTGTATCAGCACGGTGCTATTTAATAAATACGAAACAAAATAAAATCTAACATAAAAATTAAAAAAATAATCTACCTTAGTTGTACCTTCTTCAACATTACTACTTTCATTCTAGAAATAAAGACATAATTTCTTTATTTTAGTTTATTCCCAACTTACAAGCATGGCCGTTTGTTTTTCGAATAAACTTATATCTAAAAAAAAATTAATTCAATATTTTTATTGATTAACAATTAAAATAATCTATAAATAAAAGATATTCATTAAATTCTATTTCTAAATATCAACAAAAACTGTTACTTTTGAAGATCATAATTTCATCTGCTACTTCTGTTAGTCACTCGCTTGAAATAAAGTGATGTACACAGACGTAAAAAAAACAGATACTGATAACATACTCACTTATTATCTTTTTATGAGTGTTAAATAGAAACAGAACAAAAAAAGGTTTGTTTTAACAAAAGGAAAAAAAAAACAACACAAAATGCAACGAAAGAATGAAAACGATTTGATGTTTTTCTATGGATATTGTCGCTGGTTACGTTCTTCATCGGGAATATGATTCATATTCCAACGACGTTGATATGGATCATAGATTTTATATTTTGGATCGACAAGATAAAGACGTTTATTATATTTATGATCACACATTTTTTCAAGTATTTTACATCGACGATTAGCTGCCATGACATGCATATCTTCTCGTTGATTTTGTTCGTCAGTTTTTTTATATGTAAATAAACGTCGTTGTTTTTGTGGATGAATATAACCACCCCAACCAAGACGAAAAAATCGTTCTTGAACATGAGGTGAACCCTGATGTTCGCCTATATCATTTGCATTGAGTTGTGGAACAAAATTTTTATGTTCTTTATATTGAAGCCATGTATACATTCTAGTACGATATGGAATTAAATTCAATGAAGAAGAACCACGTGTTAGAGATAATAATGAACGATTCATCTATAAATACAGAAGTACAATTAAAATTTGAATGAACTTTGTCATGCATATTATTAGTTAAAAATAAATGCAAAAGAAGTCTCTAACTGAAATACTCGAACACAGACATTTTCAAAATTAATCTAGATAATTATACAAAAGAAAATCCCTTGAGATACACTATATGTAATTAAGTTAACTATCTCATTGGTAATATTTCCAGGAACAGATCTATTCAAAGTTATACTTCAAAAAAAACATAAGTAATCTTTAATTATATCAAAATTCGTTTCATCATCAAATTTATACGAGACTTTTACTTATTCAAAATGTTCTTCTCAAATATTTTATAAATTCATATAATTCCACTACCGGTCTAGAAAAGATAACATATATATTAACGTCAATGTTCTTACCATATTTACTCGAATTTCTAACATTATTCTAAATTTTCGAACTATTCAATAGTTTATTTGACATATTATGTCATAAGGAAAAAAGCATAAATAGATTATTTGATAAATGTTTCAGAATTGACATTTTTTTTGCTTTTTCTTTCGCAAGAATATATCAAAATAAGTGCTTTCAATTCTAAAATAAATATTGAAAAATATATAGTATAGACTATCTTTGTGATAGAAGGAGAAATCGATAGAAAAACTCAAGTCTTCAATTCGAGTGCATAGTGAAATTATTGGCACTTATAAAGTGATTATATCTTTTCGGACGAATTGTGTTTAATATATTATTATTCAGATTAATTATTTTTTTGAAAATCTGATTTGAGTGAAATAGATTCTCATTGTGTAAACTAAAGATTAATTACGATAGAAAATAACAAAAACTATATCGGTTCTTATAGATCTTTTATTGATATATTAGCGAAACCAAAAATGCAAACAAACAGGAAATAATACATATTAATATTTCTTATTGTTGCTGTTCTTATTGATTTATTTATTGTTTGTTGTTTATTCTTTTTCTTCAGCACGTAAACGAGCATTTGGATTTGTAACCTTGATGGCTAATTGTTGTGCACGTTCGATAATTTTCTTACGATTTGGTGCTGATACTGCATGACCAATTTCAGCAGCAAATTTTTTGTTTTGCATTAATAACATTTCAAGTTCCTAATCGAAAAATAAAGATTTTTGTTTCGGTTTTTTATATTATAAAGATTAATCGATATGTGTTTTTTTTTTCAATTCAATTTACCTTAACATTGTTAACAAGAAATGCTCGAAAACCATCTGGACGCATGTGGCGTGAACGTTTATCGGAACCGTAACCAATTGAAGGCATTAAATAAACACCTTTGAATCGTCGTCGAACACGATTGTCAATACCACGTGGTTTACGCCAGTTTGGCTATTAATAAATAAAATTAATAAGAAATTAAAATTGGCAAACAAACCAAAAAGACATACACGTAGGCGCATATATCGATCACTTTGATGGCGAACAAATTTTTTTGTGCGTTTCTTAATGATTTTTCCTTTAACCAAAGGACGTAATTTGGTCGATGTCGCTGCCATCGTTTATGTTCTGATGATGATCTAAAACAGTTTAATGGTAATTCATACTGTTATTAACGATATTTTGTATAAAAGAAATAAGATAGAATTTCGGCAATATCTGTTTTTATTTTAAGCCGTAGAATATTTTCTTGTTATGAAAAACAATTTAATGAAGATAACAAATATTTTTTTCTATTTATTTCTTTTTGTTTATTGTTGTTCGGCACCACCACGATTATTATCCAATTGACGACCACGGCCGTAACCACCACGCTAAATAAATAAACTTGTGGTTTCTTTTATCAAAATTATTTATAATTAAACTTACAAATTGTGGTTGAGCTGATCCAGCACCAACTTCACCTTGTTTATCATAGCCACTTCGACGATATTCTTGTCGGCTTTGATCAGCAGATGGTGATGATGGACGAGCAGTGTCAACTAATAGATTTTTGAAATATATAAAAAAATTCAATTTTTTTTAATATGTATTAATCTTACCTCGTTTAGCTGTTTTAGCTCCTTCAGGACGTGTTGGTCGTTTAAGTGTTGCTGGGACAATTTCAGGTGGTAAATTAAGATATTCACGTAAGAAATTGGTACCTTCATTATTTAAATACCAATAATAATGACGCCATGCAAATTGTTCTTTGACCAAATTACGTGATTTAAGCGACTAAATATAATAATAGAATTAATTTGATATTTTTTGTTTTTCAATATTAAACAAACTTGTAATGCTTTAATAACATGAATATTTGGTACTGGAATAGCTGGATGTTTATCAAGACCAAAATCTTTTTCAGCAACAACAACACCTTCTTTCATTAAATACTCATAGATAAGAGTACGATGTTTCTTTGGCATCAACATTTTCGAGTTGTTTTTATTGAAATCCTAAGATAGATCTAAAAAATATAAATAAG